TGCTGCCCTGAGGCTTGTTTGCCTCATGTACATACTTCCCATTCTGCTCGCTCTGTGTCTCACAGCACCTCTGACTCCACCTTTCTTCTCCCCAGCATTTTCTCTGCCCCCAAAATCTTGCCTAGCTATTGGCCAATCAGCTTTTTATTAAACCAATCTGAGTGGCAAGCTTTCACAGTGTACAAAAGGATTATTCCCCAGCATTTCCCCCTTTTCATCTAATTAAAAAAGGTTTTAACTTTAACATAGAAAAATTATATACCACAAAAGCAGTTATCAAGTAAGAATTATAGTTACAATATCCAGTTCATTTGTATTTTGCAAAATTAGAGAAAATACTTTATTATTTTTCTTATCTTTGTGTGTCTAAAGTTTTATATCTAACTTACCTTTTTATCATAACTAAGGAAAACATTAAGTCTAATTATTTAGTCTTTAACTCCATCAAAGACCCCAGAAGGGTGTAATGTTACCTAATGACAGAGACATTTGGATGCCTGGATAATCACCCTAAATTCTTTTGTAATATTGGGGCATCCAACTTTGGCCGACAGACCTGGTATATCTGACAGACATTTTTGAGAAGCAAGGAATTTTGAAAGACTGCCCTACCTTGTCTTGGCAAAGTTTGGCATTTGCTTTTTTTGCATCCTGTTGGTCCAGTTTGGACAATATACTATCAGCAATTGAGGCAAGGGCAGTTTCTTTGCCCAAATGACTAGCTTTTGCCATATAGGAAGCAAACTCAGTATGGAGGTTCTTCAATGTCTACCATCCTTTTTTGAAGTAAATTGGTGCTGTCAGGAGCAGATGTGTCTCACTCATGAAAAGCCTTAGGTTATTAAATATATTAAAGACCATATTCTGTAGGTCTTTGAAGTGTTTGAAGACCATCCATCTATCTAAATATATCTGTGTATGGCTTTGAAAATATACAGAACATGACTATAAGTTTGACTATTATAGATGACTATCAATTAATCTGTATTTCATTAATTATACATTACATTTTTAAATGAGTTGTATAAGCACAATACCCCAAACAAGAGTAGAAACATATATATAGTATAGCAAAAATAACTTCAAATTTGTGTCAATAAACCAAAATCCATACCAATGTAAAGTATTTTGAGATTAATAGTTGTAACCCATTTAGAGGTTTTTGGGGGTTTTTTTCTATCTGGATCTGTCTTTACTGCACGTCTGTAATCTTTCTTGTCTGCATGAGTAAAACTTGAACCCACCATGCAGCTTAGTTCATGGTGTGCTCATGGGACAAACTCTGACAGTGCTCATGCTGGTGGCTCAAGCCCACAGGCAGTGGTTGGGAAACACAGCTCTGTCTCATGAGAGACATGAAACTAGGAAGCCATGTTTGGTATGTTTTTGTGTGTTTAGAACCTTTTTTAAGTTTCTCAGGTCTTATATGGATATAGGTGCTGGACATTTGGGTGCCATTTGTAGGCAGAGTTTCTCTATGTCTCAGCAGCCACTCCAAATAACCATTCAGAGACTTATTATTAATTCAGAGACTTAATTATTAAATTAATTATTAAATAAATGTTCAGCTGATAGCGTAAGCTTGTTTTTAGTTAGCTCTTATAACTTAACCCATTTCCATTCATCTATGTGCTGCCCTGAGGCTCATTTACCTCATGTACATACTTCCCATTCTGCTCACTCTATGTCTCATGGCATCTCTGCCAACTCTGCCCTTCTTCTCCCCAGCACTCTCTCTGCCCTGAAAATCCTGCCTAGCTATAGGCCAATCAGCATTTTACTAAACCAATCTGAGTTGCAGATCTTCACAGTATACAAAAGGATTATTCCACAGCAGCTATTTTTTTGCTGGAGTCCTGTCTTTTTACTATTAATTTAAAAACATTCTTATGCATTCAACACATTAATCTCTTGCCTGTTTCAGGCATTGCAAGTATTTCCAGTGTAACATCTTTTGGTTAACTTTGCCATGCTATCCTCAGTCAGACAGATGAATTTAACTACATACAAATCTCTCACACACAACGATCTATATATCTGTCATCCACATACTGCTTTATTTCTCATTTTTAAGATTTTGCTTAAGCTCTGAAGCATGACTGAGAAAATGAGTACATGGGTTTCAATAGTTCTTCAAATATGTGCTGCAGCACCTCTACCACTCTGGGTCCTCAGTAGGTATTATGAGCTATCATATCGGTAATGACCATTTTAACTTTTAACATTTTGTTGCATTGGCTGCCCTAAAGAATTTATTTTAATATCATACCACATACTAGACCATATTCACATTCATATTTTTACTTTTATAGTATAACCAAACTATCAAAATGAGATGGAGTTTTACATTATATTCACTATATGTAGATTTGCAAAAACAAATTATTATATTTGGGGATCAAGTGCAGAATTTTTGAAAGGTTTTCAAGTATTTCAGGCTCCCATGAATTTGTTGTGGACCACAGAATTGTGTTGAACTCTTGATCTCATGCCTGTCCCTCTCAAGTGTTAGGATTATAGATGTGTACTGCTATACAAGCTTAGAGAGAGCCCCAAGTGATGAAATAACCACAAGACAAAGCAACACTTGCATGTTGCTTCAGGGAGTAAAGTATTGAGAATGGATAAGGAGGGAGGTTTAAGAGGCCAGCATTGTGGTAATAGTGCTTAACACTTAGGTGGTGTTTTATGCTTTATTTTTCCTTAATCCATACATTCTGTAGATATTAAGTGAAGCTACAATTTGGGCTAATCAGGAAGAATTAAGCCAAACCTTAACATAAGGGAGATGTAAGAAATTATTTCCTAATTATGGAGATTGTTGTACACTGGAAATTCTACTTGAGGATGTCACTGATTCTCTGGGAGTTTTAATAACTGCATGAACAATTGAGTCAAGATTGATCATATTGTCAGCCTCATGCCCAAATGAGAAATATCATAATGTATATGTAAGTATGTAAAGGCCTTTCTCTCCCATGGGCATAGTAGAAAAAAAACACAGATAATTAGACTCAAACAGCTAGTTGTGTATTATAAGCAATTCACTTGCCATTTCTGATTTTCTTTAACACTATATGAATATATATGATGTTATTTCTAATATATTAAATAGTGATATCACTAATTAATTGTATATATTACTAATTAACCTATTTATGGAGTTCGAACCCTCCTTATTAAACCACCTCTCAGTGATGACAAAGTGCTGAGGACAAAGTACTCAAAACGTGACAAAACCAGGTCATTCCCTAATTCTTCTCCCTCTCCCCTCAAATCCCCGAGACCTCCACCTCCATCGCTTCCTGGTATTCAAAGCTGTAAGTTCTTAGGGTGAGAATATATGGAGCTAAGGATGATAGGAGGCCAACATTGAGACTCACTTTTCCATAAGATTCTAGGTGAGTGTGAAATGTTGACCATGTCTGAGTCTTTCAAAACTAGTTTAATTGTTCAATATCATTGATCTTTTTTTTTATATCAGAGCAGATGAGACCAAGAGAAATGTCAGTTAAGCTCTGATTTATAGATAGACTTAGACTTACATATCCACCATTCAATTATGTTGATTTTTATTCATATTGGCATTTATACTTATTGCATAGTAATAGGCTTCATAAAGACATTTCATCAAGCATATCATGTACTCTAGGCATAGCCGTCTTTCATCCCTCTTCTTCCTCTATCCTCACCCTCCCACTGATACACTTTCTTTCCATAGAAGTCTCATTTCTGCTTTAATGTCATTTACAAATGACATTTATAAATGACTTTGTGCATCTGTATATAATCTGGGATCCACACATGAGAGAAAACATGATTTTTATTTTTCTGAATCTGGCTTGCTTCTTTTAATGTGATGATCTCTATTTGCTCCTATTGCCTGCAAACAGCATAACTTTACTCTTTTCAAGGTTAAATAATATTTCATTATGGATCTATAACTCATTATCTTTATGTATCCTTCTGTTTATGGTCACTGATTCCATGCATTGGCTACTGTGAATATTGCTGCAGTAACCACGGATAAGCAAGTGTCTCTGCGGTGTGCTTAGTCTTTTGACTGTGTTCTCAGGAATCCAGTCGCTGGGTACTATGGTAGTTCTATTTTTAGGATCTTGTTTATTGATTATTACTCATACTGAGCTTAGGGCTTAAACAAGCTCACTAAATGTCTGTATAGTTCTATAGTAAGGGCTACATCCCCACCCTCTATTTTTATTTATTTATTGTTTGTTTGTTTGTTTGTTTGTTTTTGTGGAACTTCCATACCCAGGAAGTAAACCAAGAGTTGACACCTGTGACTGCATGCTGTTAAAGTGCTCACATCAAAAGAACAATGAAGTGAATAAAGAGATGGCCTACAGAATGAGAGGAAAAATCTTTGCTAGCTCAATATCTAATGGGATTTATGTCCAGAATATATATAAAGAATTCAAAAACCAAATACTGCAAAGAAACAAACAAACAAACAAAAACCAACCCAATCAGTAAGGCGGGTTAATGAAATGGATGGAAAATTCTCAACAGTTCAACTGCAACTGGCCAGTAAACATGATAAAGTATATGATAAAAGTGTTCAGCATTCTTAGCCATTGCAGTTGGGGAAATAGAAATTAAAAACTACAGTGAGAGCTCCTGTGTTTCTGCAGCCGGAATGGCTATCACTAAGAAAACAAATAGCAACACATGCTGGAGAAGATGCGGGGGAAGGAGAGCCCTCAAACACTGCTGATAGAATGTAAGTTAGTTCCACCACGATGAAAGCAATTGTGCTTCTGAAAAGCCAGGATGTGTTTACAGGATTTTGCTCAGAAGATAAAGTAATGGCACCGATGATGATGATTTGATCTTACCTCAATCCTTAGAGAAGAAAACCTTATTTTCCTGTGTGATAGGTCTCAATTAACTTTTCCCCTTTCATTCTTTCTGATGTTCCAATGAGTCTCACTTCCATAGAAAGGCATGGCTAATGTGGATCATGTGTATCTTTTCAACAGGGACAAGTGATCCATATGTGAAGTTTAAAATTGGAAGAAAAGAAGTTTTCAGAAGTAAAATTATACACAAGAACCTGAATCCTGTGTGGGAGGAAAAGGCTTGCATCCTTGTCGACCATCTTAGAGAGCCTCTGTATATCAAGGTGAGCAGTTTCTTTGCTTTTCTGTTATGGAATCTGACTCAGAAATCTTTGTTTAATGGTTGTTTCTCGTGCCTCCAAAGGGGCTTTCACCGAAGACCACTGTTCACAGCTTTAACCCAACATAATAGGACACAAATGAGCTGGGATGATAAGCTGCTGGAGGCCCTTCCATGTGGAACCGTTCTGTCGGTGGAGGCACAGGAGTGCTATGAGAGCCACCTCTGCTTTGTGCTTTCAACTGACGCACTGCAGTTTGGGAGCACATGACAATATGTCTCCAAAGAACCCAGCGTGAAGGAAAGCTTCCACAGAAACCAGCATTTCATTTTGTTTTTTATCATGCCACTTAAGGTTTTCTTGTGGGAGATGCAGGCTGAGGGGACTGTGGCTTCCTCTTTTTCCTGCCATGGGATAGAGTCATCCATTAGTATAAATTTTTTCCAAACTTGGGAATCGTCTCACAAAAATGTCACTGTCCCTGCCATGTTCAAGGCTCCTTCCTGTTTAACCAGATATTATGAACGTATGCATATCAGTTTGCACAAAACAACAGGCAGCATTGTGCTGATGTTCAGTTAGTAAACAGATCCTCAGACTAGTGTGTAAGCTTAGTCTCCTCGCAGAGCTATGGTTCAAGGTAGCAGGACTCATTGCTCTGGCAGTTACTTCTGGAAATGTATATAGAAGATGCCACAGGTTTGCACTGATCAAAATCTAATGCTTCTGGCACCTGTTAGCCCAAATGGTACACCACCTTCTCTGCCTGCCAGCTCTGGCCTCACTGGCTGTGGTTGTATCTAAAGTCCTTGTTCTGAGAATCAGCAAGTTCCCTGTGGGGCGTTTACCCACCACCCCCACAATTCCCCAGAGTTTTCTTGAGTGCGAGCAGCAGGAAATATTAGATAGAAGGATTTATTGTGGAGAATCTTGCAGAGATAAACAGATAGAAAATAAAGGATAGCCTCGAGAGGGCCTGGAACCTTTTCCAACGGACCCCGACTGTCTCTGCCCCAGGGTTTTTATAGAGACGCCAAGGGGTGGAGCAAAAGACCTCCTCCCCCAGCACAGCCAAGTGCAGACCATCTCAGACACCTGCACTCAGGCCCGTGGTCCTAATCATCCTCTATGCGGACCTACTGGGTAAAGCCACGAGGAACCCGAGAACGGGCTCCCACAGTTCCCGAGGCTCCTTCGATGGTAGATGATAAAGATAAAGGTATAAGAAAAAAGGAGGCTACTTTGCTTCCTAAGAAGCGTAGGGCTTTGGGGCTGAAGAGATTCAAGCACTTGCTGTCCAAGCAAGACGACTTTAACTGGTCTCCCAGGCACCCACATAAAAAGCCGAAAGTGGCTGTGTGCGTCTATAACCCCGTGCATGGGATGGAGACAGGCAGACCTCCAGAGCTCAACAGGCAGCCAATCTAGACAAAACATCAAGCTTTGGGTGCAATAAAAAGAACATGTCTCAAATGCACACATAGATACATACTTAGATACGTAGGGATGGACAGATATATACATACATACATATAATGCATGTATGTAAGTATTCATACATGCACTTACTACAATTAGTAAGATACACCCTGATGCCAACCTTAGATATGTGCACTCCATACACAGACACACACATGAGCAGGTACACATCCAATAGGATACCAAAAATCAGATAGATTAATAAATAAATAAGTCAAAAAGGAAAGAAACTTAAGGTCTGTGATAGTATCAAAAAGGCACATGCCTTCCAATGAATGAGATCTGGCAGGGACAGAATGAAGAATCTTTCTCCTCTCCAGCTCAGGGGACCATGTATGGCCTATAATGAAGGCAATGGAATTATTAGGCCTTAGAAACATTCCTGGAATTTCTCTGCTTCATGTAAACAAACAACAATTTGAACTTGCTCCTAGTGGGTATGGGAGACAGCTGTGCATTGGAACTGAAAGTACATGCCATGAGTTAAGTGACTTGTGTAACAGTTGGTGCAGAACAGTTTCCTCAGCAGTGACTAAACCTGTCCATGCACACGATGTCCAATACAGACGTGAACCGAGTTTTGAAACACTCAAAGAGAACTCTGAATACTACACAAGAAGACTCATTGCAGAGTCCTGAAGATGAACCCACAGAAAAAGACCAAGAATCATATTGAAAGCAAACCCAAGTACAAAGCATCATTCTTCATCAAACAAGCGAGCACCACAGTCCAAATGAGATGAAAAGGGCCCATAGCTAGACAGTGGGACAGGTAGGCATGGTGGCACTTGGGAGGAAGGAACAGGAGGATCACCACAAGTTTGAGGCCAGCCTAGTCTACACAGTAAGCTTTAGGCCTGTCTCTAAAGAACAAAACAAAAAGTCTTGGCATTGGGAGAGAGTACTGTTCATGTTGATTACAGGAAGAAGCTTTAGGGGGCAAACGGGCTATAGTTACCAAGAAACTTGCAACTGTAGAGAAATCCACAGCAGAAAAAAGAAACAGTGTATAAACTCAGGTTGTTCATTCTATAAACATCTAATAATTTGGGAGAGTTTTTTTTCTTTTCCTCTGTTTAAAGTTAGTTGATTAATTTATTTTAGGTCTATATATGTATGTGTGCTTTACAGTCTTCAGAGCCCCACTCATATTTTTCTGTAAATTATTTGGTCTGTAGACGTATATTGAAGCTTCACTTTAGGCCAACCAGGAAGAGTTAAGCCGAATTTTATTATAAGGGAATTACGGGGTTCATATGGGTGCACATGTGTGGGTGCTGTGTCCATGAATGTGTGTGTGGCACATGTGGCGACCAGGAGTCAGTGACCAGCATGTTACTCAGCTGCCCTCCACCTTGCTTTTTGCAATGCGGTCTCTTGCGTGTTGCCTAGTCTATGAAGCTGGCAACAACGAGCCCCAGGACCTTCTGTCTCTACCTCCCCGGCACATGTAGCTGCACCAACCTTTTCACACAGGCTCTGAGGATCAGAATCAGGTCCTCCTGCTCACATTGCAAGCATTTTGCTGACAGAGCCCCAGCATAGTCTTTTAGATTAAAAAAAAAAAAATCAATATTTTACCTGGGGCACTGATCTGTCGTGCTCCAGGATAGACTTTTAGATTTTTAAAGAAATCAATATTTTACCTGGAACACTGAGAAAAAAATAAATTATGCCATTTTAAGATTTATCATTTCTGGTTCAAGGAAAGTGCTTTTTCTTCTACTAATGAAAAGGTCAAAGGTAATGGGGCTAAGAGATGACTTCATTACCTCTAGACATGATAAAAAAGGCTTTTCTCTCATCTGATTTTTAGAAAGTCAAAAAATTTAAAGACATTCTTAAGGAGCTTGAAAAATCCCAACCTCATTCCATGCAAAAGCCATGTTTCGTTACTCTGTTTTCATACCTGGATTCCCTATCATCTACGTCTTGAGGCACAATTTTTGGTGCACCTGTGTTCTGGATATCTGTTTGGTACCCAATCCTTTCCCTGCGTTTGCTATCACAGGACGCAAACCACCTTTTCCTCTAGATTGCCATTCCTCCCACGAGCCCCAATCTCACATGGTTGCTCTCTGAACATTCCCAGGGTACCTTTCTCCCTCCCTCCCAAGTCTTCAGGGTATTGCTGCCAGTTGATTCCCTCTGTGTCCTGGTCAGTGTTTATTGCCAACTCCACCAAGAGCTACTTTCGAAGAGGGAGCTAGAACTGGAATTCCCCCTCAGATTGTCCAGGAGGTGTCTGTGAGGAACTGCCTTGGCTGGCTATTGTTGTAAGAGGCCCAACCCACTCTGGGTAGTGTCAAGCCCAGCAAGCAGCTTCTGCTCTGAGGGGACAGGGAGGGGGTGAGAGTGGGAAGGAAAGCCTAGACTGTGTGTTCTCATTGTCACTGCAAATAATAAGTGATAGGAAGAGAAATCATTTTTAATTGCTTCTGCTGTAGACTTAGATTCTTTAATGGGATAGTGCTCCATAAAAATCATGTAGATCACCAGTTGATATAAGGACACAAATAGATTTATCAAAATTGCATCAGACAGTGTGGGTTTTCTGTTCTTTGTGCTCAAGAAAGAGTAGTGTGTGTGTGTGTGTGTGTGTGTGTGTGTGTGTGTGTGTGTGTAATAACTTGTCAAAAGTCATATTTTGAAATAAATATGCTACTAGGCTCAAAGCAAGAAAATAAATAATCCATCTCAACAACACAGAAAAAATGGTATAAAATTGTTTTTGTTTTGACATGATAAGAACATATACAAAGGGCTAGAGATATAGCTGCTTTTCCAGAGGACCCTAGTTTGATTCCCAATATCCACAAGGTGTCTCACAACCATCTGTAACCCCAGTTCCAGGGCATCCAATGCCCTTACATGGTCTCTGCAGGCCCAAGGCACACAAGTGATAACAGACATACATACAGGCAAAATACCTATTCATACAAAATAGAATAAAAATAAATGTTTTAAAAAGAATAACACATGTGTATGTCAGTGTATATATTATAAATTCATAGACATATGTGTACATATGTACTGTAGCACTGAAGGTTGGCTAACCCACCTGCTAAGGTCACACATTACATTACATACATCACAGATGTAAAGAAGCTGAGAAGGAGAAACACAGGACTGTGTCAGTTTGCTCTGCTCTCTTTAGCATATCATCATACAGGACTGTCAGCCACAACTGCACTTGTACCACATGGAAGGAAATACAGTCATTTGTAAAGCAATAATCATTTATTTTCATTTCTATTTTATAAACGATGATTACTTTGACCTCTCAGATATGAGAATAAAACAAGACTTGACTTTATGCAATGTTTTGTACTTTAAAAGATACGCTTATATTTTCAGCTGATTTTTCATTCTCCCTAGAGACTATTTTGAAGAAAAATCTCTAACCTTAAGCCTATTTTTACATGTTGTGTGTATGTGTTATCCTTTTATTTCCCTTGACCTTGGGTATTCAAAGACCCAAATAAAACAATTGGTGTGAATATCACTGAGTTACTATATGGCTT